ATGAGTATGTTTTCTCTTTGGTGTCTACATTAAACTGTAAGTTTCCAGAAAACCTTTTATGTGCAATTGTAGAGTATACCTCCTGTTGACAATTCTCAGAAGAAATCGTATGAAATAATTCTGTAACTTCTTAAAGTTAGATAGTTGAATAAAAAAATTTCTTGCTAGTGGTCAAGCTTTTCTGATGGCCCTTTTGAGATAATCTTCGGAAAGCTGCAATGAAATAGATAAACAACATAGGAACTTCTATTAAGAAATATGGATGAACCACATTGTAAATTTTATAGGGAATCTGTCTTATAACTTTATGACTTGCTATGATGCTTTTACTGTCGTCTTTCTAATTCAGTATCATTATTTCCTAGTTCCTTGACCTTATTGATAGCATCTAGTTATTTGATCTGCAAGGCCGTGAATTAATTGCAATATGGATCTGTTTTCTCTATCTTATGTACAGAAAGCACAGAAGTGCAGCTTGGTTGTTCAATCATGGGAACCATTGATGGGAAATTTGACAGTGGATATCTGGCTACTGTCAACTTGGGTTCTGATGAACTGAAAGGTGTCTTGTATCATGCTCCTACATCTACATATGTTTCTCAGAGCTTTTCGGACATGCCTACTCGACGGAACCGAAAGAGATCCAGGTTGGCATTACGTGATCCCTTTCGGCCCAAGTCAAACAGGAGTGGTTACAATTTCTTCTTCGCTGAGCATTATGCCAGATTAAAACCTTTGTACTATGGGCAAGAGAGAGCCATCAGCAAGAAAATTGGGTATCTATGGAACAATCTCACAGAGGCTGAGAAACAGGTATAGTGAGTTGGTGACATTTTTTTTTTTTTTTTTTTTTTTTTTCAGTTAGTCCTTTTTCGCTCGTAACGTCCCAAGCTAATTTCATTATCGTATATTTGTGTTCCGGTATAGATCTAAGGTTTGAGAAGAAGTTTCACATGCTTGGATAGAATTACTATTTTCATCTCCTTTTGTGTTGATTCTCAACACTTCTAACTTGCGGTATATTGGAAGTCTTCTTGAAGTGTTCATCATAACACTCCGTTGCTGCGTTGCAGGTTTATCAGGATAAAGCGATGAAGGACAAGGAGAGATACAGGACCGAACTGCTGGAATATAAATCTTCCTACAATCCTACGCAGCAATAGCCTCCATGTTCGTTAGATAGGCAACTTGTTTCGTAGGCATCATTTTCCTCTCTTGTATGCCTTTTTGTAGTAGTTGTCATCGTTGCCGGTATTTAACCTAGTTCGGTTTTCATTTTTCTTTGGTAAGGTTACCCCTCAGTATGCCCCATCCGCGGAAAAGAATTGCGGAAGGGGTGAAAGGGGGCAGCTCTTTGTAACAGCTGTTGAATTTGCCTTCACTTTGGATTAGTAGGATTCCATTGCAGTGACGATCTTTGATATTTCTTGACATTCCAATGTAACAATAGTAATTCCTGGAACTGCAGTCTAAAATTTAAGGGAGCTTATTTTCACACACAATCTTTAGCCTTCTACACAGCCCTCACACATATTCCTGACATCGGATTGAATAAATGAAATAGAAAACACGATTCGGATTGAATAAATGAAATAGAAAACACGATTAGGATTAAATAAGCGTGTAGGAGGAGAAAAATTATTTGTAATTTCCAAAATTTATAGGTGGATTGAAAAGTTTTGAACATTATGCAATGTTTACGAGCTCGTTTGAAAGTGCTTTTAAAATGACTGAATGCTCTTTTGGTGAAATTGATTTTGGGTTCCAAAAGTACTCAAGTGCCTTTTGGAAGAAATACCAGATATGTACTTTTTCAAGAAAGCACTTAAATGTTTTTTCATGATCTACTTGGATTTTTACTAAATATTGGTTTTAAAAACATTTTCATCAAAAAGACTTACAGTCATTTCAAAAAGACTTCCAAATGATACAACACCTAATGTACGCAGATCACTACAACTGACTTTTGAGCTAGTTAGAATTATTTTTTATCTTGGGGTTTCTATCTATTTTTAATCTCATCATCCAAGAAAATGTTAAACACAAAAGCATAAAAAAAAACAAAATGAATTACGCCACCATCTCAAATTTATTGAGTGATATTTTAACGTAATCTAAATTGCAAGGAGAAGATCAACTAATACAATAATTTAGAAATATTTTTCTTTGTTTTTAAGTAACATGTTTCAAATTTGACTTACATAGACAGCGAGGGAGTATTGTAATTATGTCAAGTTTGATACCTAATTAATGGCTGACTTAGCCTAGTCCCCCTCTCCTTAGAGTAAAATATATTGTAACAAAATTATAGAGAGAGGTAACTAAGTGGGATGATAGAGAGAGGTAACTAAGTGGGATGAGGCAGTGCATTATTATCCTGGTCAACTTTGGCTATGCCAAGTCCTACATTTTTTACTTTCAAATATGATTATTACTTGCTTTCTTAATCAACTAGAAGTAAAACTATTGGCTTAGGAAATACATTTTAACGGATACTTTTTACCTTTCATAACGTGGTAATACATGTTTTACCTTAATTAATTAGTTCCCCTTCAAACAAACAAAATGTATACATAAGTAATGATTTTCTTTTTGACACACAATATGATATTTTAATACAAACAGACAATACAATATGTGAATTGGAACATTAGAGCTCTTAAACTCGTACATTGTACAACTAAGTGAAAAAAGCTAAACTATAGTTAGATGAAAGGTAGTCATTTAGTACTACGATATAATGATATTCTTCGATCTAGTTGTTCATTTTCACTTGTAAGTGATCTTATGTTTGATTATTGTCAAAAGCAAATTTGAGCCAAATTATTGTCTATTGTGAGGTTTAGCCTAACTCCTCTTTTTCGTACGATAGATAAAATCGTTTGTTAAAAAAAGTTAAACAAAAAGCTTGCTGGTCAAAGACTCAAATGCAACGACTTCCTTCACACATTTTCTTTCGTCAAAGCATTAAGTAGAATTTAAATTCCTTGCTCATAAAATTGGAAACATGGAGGCCATTCAAAGGTTTGAAACCGCGTGGAAACAAAAGGATAGAAGAAATAAATTGGAAAATTTGCTCCTCTAATCACTTTCTTATTTAGACTCTAGTCATGTGTGTGGTGAGTGGTGAATGGTGGGAACATGAGGGCAGTGCATCATATGCAATTATATAATTGGAGAAACGTTTGAAAATAAAAACTTTTCACCACTTGTATATTAACATTTGGCGTACCATTACGTGTTTTGAGTGTACTGAAAAATCTAGTGAATGGTGGTATGAGATGTGAAAATTCACATAAAAGAGGATCAAAAGGGATAATAATGACATGCATTAACTTAAAGGATGGCGATAAGCACGGATTTTGAAACTAACCCAAGAGAGTTCCCACTTTGCTAGGCTTCTTGCCCCCTTTTAATTTCCTCTCCTTGATAGAGTAGGAAATCCTTTTGGGATTTTATTCTAATTAGAAAAATGAGATTTTTTAATATATGCTGCGAATATCTTATGTATTGAAAATTTTAATCAATATATTATTGGTTAAAGATTCAACAATTAAAGTTGCAAACGTTTAAAAATTTAGTGTATAAAGTACATCAAAGTATAGTAAATTTTTTATTAAAAAATAGTGGAATAATTTATCATTGATTAACACTTATAAAGGGTAACACAAATAAGAAGAGAAAAAAAAAATCCTTAAAAAAAAGAAGACAAAAAGCTAATTTTTGGGGTTGGAGGAATAATTACAAAGAAAAGATTGTATCCTAAATTTTTGTGAAAACTGAGAGAATTCCGGATGATTGGCCTTGGAGTATCTTCCAAGGAAGATTAAAATTAAATTATAATGTAAGATAAAAATTAGAAAAAAAAAATTAAAGGAAGAAATTCCAAAAACCCTTACTCTTTGGGGCAGGTATGGTTTAGTGTTGTAAGTGGGGCTCCTAAATACTCGTAGTGGGATAGAAGAGAGTGGCACACTTCATACTAAACAGTACTACCTAAACCTTTGTTTGGATGGAGTTTAATTTTTCATTTTTCATTGAACTCTTCTTATTTTTTGAAGGATCTCTCTCAAAATTAGGATTGTTATGACCTCTTTGTCAACCCATAGTTTAAAGTTAATTTTGTGTTAACATTATAAAATATTATACCAAAAGCATAAGGTAACAAGGATTTTATAAAGAGTCTTAAGAGAGTTCGATTATCAGTTCACTATCTTTTGTGTGGTGGTTTTATGGTTTTCAAACTTTTCAAAATTCTCATACTATTCTCAGTCAGTGACTCAAAATTCCGTGAGAATTTGGAGATTCTGAAAGAACGGATTAACAGGCTTTGACGGTCAATTGCCCATGAACCAAAACTCATACAAACAGCAGTTAAACCCAAAATAATATTAATTAAAAAACCTAACAATATCTATAAAAATATAACAATTATAATTCTCTTTCTATAACAATTTGGTGACTTGAAAGACCGAAGGCCTGCCTAACTGCTGCAGAATTTGTGAAGTCCTCTCTCTCTCTTAGCTCTTCTGGGTTTGTTTCTCTGCTCCTTTCCTTGGCTATTTTTCAACTCTAATCTTTTTTTTTGAGCTGTAATCTGATGACATCATTAGCTGGCTGGAAGCCACTGAATTTCCTTGTTTTCTTTCCCCTCTTAGAGTTCTTGATTATATTGAGGTCAGGATTTTCAGGACTTATAATTACCCAAAACAAGATCATGATCAAAGTAGCCTAATTTTGCTTCTCAGCTAAGCTAACCTTTTCACATTTATATTTGCATATATATATATATATAAAATCTCAATCTCCTAGTAGGGTTCCGCATACTCACATCCTTAGCTTTAGCTCCTTTCTACCCAAATCTTCTTTCTTTTCTTATTCCCCAAGCACCAAAAAAAAAAAAAAAAAAAAAAAAAAAAAGACCTAGACCATCATTATATTCCTCACTAGCTGCGGTTTCACACTATCATTAAATTTCCGAGCTGGGTTATTTTTCTCACATGGATATCGAACACCAAGAGACTAGGTTTCCACCACTAACTGCCAGCGATCAAGAGCGAAAGCCCGCAAAGATACTGAGCCGCGAAGAGATGGAGAGCAACAATGAAGGCATGTTTGTGAAGCTCAAGGTTGCAAAGCCGGAACCTTTAGGCCAAAACCCTCAAAACTTTTCTGCTGCTCCGCTGCCGGAATTTACCCGATTTTGCGAGGTCTGCTTCAAGGGTTTCAGCTCAGGTAAGGCTCTCGGAGGCCACAAAAGAATGCATGTTCAAGCTAACAGGGAATTGTTTAATCAGTCTCGCAAGAACACGATTTCATCAAAACCCAACAATTCGAAACCAAGCAATTCCAATGTTGGAAGCTCGAATGCTGGTGGGGTTTTGGGGATTGGAGGAAATAGCAGCACCATCAGCAATATGAAGCCTGTTTGTTGCGTTTGCGGCAAGAATTTTCCGTCGATGAAGTCACTTTTTGGGCATATGAGGTCGCATCCAGAGAGAGAGTGGAGGGGAATTCAGCCGCCCCCGACCGCCAAAAACAGCTCTTCTTCCACTGTGTCAGATGCTGTGCCTGATCAGAGTAATAGGAAAGCTCAGGAGGATCAGATTGAGTCTGATGAGACTTTTTTCAGGTCGAAAAGTTCGGTTCTTAATCTGTCCAAGACTCTGCCTAAATGGTCACAAACCGCAAGGAGAGGGAGGAAGAGCGGCAGCACGGGATTTGAGTCCAACTCTGACCAGTCCGTCTCCGGATTGGATTCGAGAAGTCCCAGGACTGTTGAAGAGGACGAAGAGCAGATGGAGGAAGCTGTCCATGATCTTTTGATGCTAGCTCAGGCCAATCCATTGGAAGGAGGAGGAGCTGATGAGACCATGTATGAGGTCACCAACAGCAATTTCTTGATCACCACCAATCAGGACCGAGAGGGTGGACTTCCATACCACGGACACACTGCACCCTCCACCGTGGGGTCCACAAACAAGAGGAAGGGAGCATCATCTGAGGTGAAGAGGAGTGAGAAAAAATGGTATGATGCATATGGTGGTGGGTTTGGTCAAGAAAAGTCAACGGTGAAGAATTTCTTGAAGCTTGGATTAATGGAGGAGGAAAATATTGGAAACTATAATAATATGGAGGATGAATTGTCAGACAGTCAGAATTCTGAGAGCATTGCGGTGGTGAGGAGGAAGAGGAGGAAGATGAAGTTGGTGGACTTGGAAGGAAGGCTGAGGTACAAGTGCAATCTCTGTGCGAAGTGTTTCCCGAGCCACCAAGCTCTGGGAGGACACATGTCAAGCCACAACAAGCTCAAGGGGATCACGGTGGCCCACTCATCAATGGAGGACCAGTCTGCATCCGCTGACGATCCGGCTGCTGAAGATAGGGTGCATGGTGATGAAGCAGAAAGAGTAGCACTTGATCATCTGCAGCATCACCAATGCAAAATCTGTAACAAGACCTTCCCAACAGGTCAGGCTTTGGGGGGTCACAAGAGGTGCCACTGGACTGGCCCCACTGAGCAGCAGCAGCAGCAGGTGGTGGTGGTGGGTCCTTCTGAGCAGCTACAGAAGCAGGTGGTGGTCGTGGGTCCTTCTGAGCAGCTACAGAAGCAGCTGCAAGCTCATTCCAGTCAGACTATAGTAGGTGGTCGTGGTGGAGGAAAAGTTTTGAACTTTGACCTAAATGAGCTTCCACCAATGGAGGAGGATAACCAGGAAGGTGCAGGTACAGATTATCAGTATGGTGGGGCAGCAGCAGCAGGATGTTCAACTTCTTCTTATAATTCAGTTACTAATTAGCTAGCCAGCTGAAGAATCTGAGGTTTTCTATCTTCTCCTCTCAGTCTCTGGCTATCTGATATTTTTTTAAGGGTTTTTGGATAGTTCAGTTAGTTGTTGTCCTTATAGTCTTAGATACCCTACTGCTCTTTCCAGTTTGATCAAAGTGGGGTCCATTCCCATTGGCTTTTAGGGTTAATTTTCCTCTTGTAAAGCATGATGATATGGTCTTCTCAAGGTTTTGCTTTAGTGGAAGGAGATTTCCAATATCCAAATGATCCTATTGGGAGGAAGACGATGTAAAGAATCTGCAGGACTTCTGCATACATACAGTGTTTCTTTTTGGTTAAATTAGTTTCCTTACTTTCTCTTCCATTAATTTTCTTGTTAGAATTCAATTGTTTAATTCCACAAGTTTTAAGTTTCAAATTAAGCCTTTGGTAATCAAATCTCAAATGTAAGTGCTCTCCTGGACGGAGGGATATCAAATTTACAGGATTTATATCACATTAATATACAGTTGTTTATCTACACTAAAACATGTCATATATTGTCGAGATTTAAAATAAAAGATCTGAACAAAAACAAAATGATTAGAAAGCATATAATTTATTTCAAATTTATTAGTCTATTAAACATATTCCACATGATGTTTTCCAACTTTTGTAGATAATTTTCCTGCGCATTGTCAAATTCAGATCCTTTCTTTTAGTTGACTCCATTTAGATGGAATCTTGATTTTGATTTGTTTAATTGTGATGTGAGGCTAATAAGATGTAACGTTGAGTATATAGGGCCAGAACAAAGAAGTCATTTCTTTATGAAGTCAAGAGACTTCTCTACCCAGTGGAGGTTTTCCTCATCAACCCAATTTGCAAGAATCAACTTTTTTTTTCCTGTTCAATGCTTAATTTTGGTTTTAAGAAAATTAATTAAGCATATAGTTTTCTTTGTGATATTTAAGAGAAGCATCTAACAAATCTCCAAAAGCAACTTGTTAGTGTTTGGGAATTTGGTGTGTATTTCCACATAAACTATGAGGGGGGGGGGTCTGTTTTGAAAAGGTCATTGTGTACTGATAGAGATGTAGATTTTTTTTTCCAAAGGTCATTGTGTACTGATAGAGATGTAGATTTTTTTTCCAAATCACCTAATTTAATTGCAAAATCAACACAGATGAAGCAACAGGTTACTAATAGTCTAATACTCTAAACATTGATTTGTCTAAGCACACAATTATTAGTTCCTCTCCAGCTTAAGCTTTTACCATCTCTTCTCACTTTGTGACCAGGTCAGCAAAAGAATAATAAGACAACAAATTAACTCAAGTGTCTAGATTCAGTTATTTAGTTTTGCAAAGGAATTGGTATATTAGTTGTGTATATGGTAACTTGTATTTTTCACATTAGCATTGTACGTAAAACGTAATACCTTATAATGGAATAACCTTCTTAGGGCTGGTTTGGTATTGTTGTGCTTTGAAAAAAAGCTGCTGTGAGAATAAGCGGCTGTGAAATAAATCAGCAGAGTGTTTGGTAAACTTTTTTGTAAAAGTGCTTTTGGAAAGAAAAAAAAGCAGTCTGATAGTGGGTCTTTTCATTAAAGGAGCACTGTAGCTCCGTATGCTTTGAAAAAAAGCCAGTTTTCCAAAGCTGCAAATAGCAGCTTCAGCTTTTTCCTTTGATTTCAGCTTATTCTCACAGCAGCTTCCAAAATAAGCCTTTTTTTAATTTACCAAACACCTAAAACCCTCACAACTTTTTTTCATGGGTGCTTTTTTTTTAAGCACCTCACTCCCAAACCACCCCTTAAAGTCATAAAAGATTCTGGACTGGTTATGTATTAGAATAAACTTCATATTGTAATAAGTTATAATTTTTCTTGACCTTATGTTAAGGAAACACACCTCTACATAGTTATAAGTGTCACTGAGTACAAAATATGCAACAAAATTAAATCCTTGGTGCGTCCAAGGAATCCTATTTAGGAAATACATCATTCATTAAGGATAAATAAGTCAATAAATAATATTTCAATTATGTATTAGAATAAACTCCATATTGTAATAAGTTTAATTTTTTCTTGGTCTCATCTTAAGGAAACACGCTTTCACATAACAAAAATATGCCAGGAATCCTATTTAAGAAATACAACATTCATTAATGATAAATAAAGCAATAAACAATAATTTAAACTACACCTCTATTAAGCAATAATCTCCTTAAAATTATAAAATTGGTTATATTTCAACCGTATAACTTTATAGATGTTTTACTGTATATAATTTCATAAGTTTTATGTCATCATGCCCCCGAAATTTCTTTCCCCAAACAATATCGAAAGATACAATGTTATAATGTTTGCATGCTGGTAAATTTAAAGCAGTAATATTAGGTTGATTTTGGTCAAATTCTGTAGTTTAAATTCACGATTAAACAATATAAACATCTATCACGCAAAAGAATGCTAAATCCCATAGCTAGTTATTTGTGTGTAGTACTCATAATTCATTTGCGTTGAAGGATGCTTTGTATTTAGGGTAGAAGAAAATAGAAAGGATATGACTCAACTGTTTTATTGACGATTTCTTGTGATCTCAAACTTTCTATACTATCATTTTTAACTTTTATATCCCTTGGCACTTTTCTCACGCCAATTGCCTAACAAACATGTACCACCCTACCATTGTAACGTGCGCTTTCGTGCCTTTATGTCGTTGGTACTAGGATACACTCACACGCATATTTTATTAACTTTGGATTAATTAATTGTTAATTATAAGAAAATAATATTTAAAGCGAAATCATGCACATGGTTCTTTTCATACCTTGTTTTGGACTTTTGGTGTGATTCTGTACTTTGTTTCAACTTACAGAAGGTGGTGTTCATATCTTAAAATGGCTTATATGTCACTATAATTAATAAAGATGAATTCACTTTGGAACATTTATACAATATACCTTGAAAGTCACGAATTGGTCCAACATTAGTGGTTGCTAATTATGCAGCTCTAGTATTTTCTTTTTTTCTCTTAAACAAGAATCAACTGATGGCTTCGTCACTGCAGTCCACCATGTTGGGGGCCGGAAAAACTCACAGTGACGTTTCATCCTCCTCCTGACCATCATCATGTGATTCACCAACGTCAAGAATCGAACTCAGGAAGTGTCGTGCGGAATACGAACCTGAAATTCGTCTTCAACCATCGAGCCACACCGTGATGGTTGCATAGTATTTTTGAAATTGACACTTTTTCACAATTACTACAAATGACTAGAGAGTAATGCTATTCATACCATGTTTTTGTATCATATTTGCATACCACATTAGGTGACATTTGATGTGGATAGCCACAACATTTGAATTAATGAGATTTTTAAATTTAGTTCATTATTTAATAAACTAATAATTAAGAAAAACTAGTTAATTAAATGATGATTATGGTATACGACGAGTTTTTCTCCTTCCTTTCTTTGGGTTTTGCAAATTTTTCAAAGGCTAAATGTACAAAATGGTCCATGAGATTTGCACAATCAATAGAAATGGTCTTTGAGATTGAAAATCAATAGAAATGGTCCCTGAGATTGTCCACCATCCATGATTTTGGCCATTTTGTTAAAAACTATTTGGGCAATTTTCAAAGCTTCGTAACTCAATCGTTTGTTAACCACATTTGACCCATAATATATCAAAATGAAGATAAGAAAGTGTATAATAAGATTATACCTATTTGAAAGCCCAATGGTTGCCGAAGATGGCCGGAAAATAACCTGAAAGGTGACTAGTCCGTGGGAAAACTGAAAAACTTGCCAGAAACTGGGTAAATTTTAAACGTTCATAACTTCTTCAATACTCAACTAAATCAAGTGATTCAAAAATAAAAATCATACTTCTAAATGAGACGAATAGAATGGTACCTTTTTCTATGGCTAACTCTCTGTTGTTTGGCCGGAAAACGGCTCAAAAGTGGGTAACTTGAAAATGGTTAGCCACTTTCGAGCCATTTTCCGGAAAAACCACGAAGAGTTAACCATAAAAAAAAAAAAAGATACCATTCTCTTCGTCTCGTCGAGAAGTATGATTTTCATTTTTGAATCACTTGATTTTGTTGAGTATTGAAGAAGTTATGAACGTTTAAATTTATCCAGTTTCAAGCGAATTTTTCAGTTTTCCCTCGGACCAAACACTTTTCAGGCTATTTTCCGGCCATCTCCGGCAACCATTGGGCTTCCAAATAGGTATAATCTTGTTTTACACTTTCCTATCTTTATTATGATATATTATGGGTCGAATTTGGTTAAGAAACGATTGAGTTATGAAACTTTGAAAATTGTCCAAAGAGTTTTTAATGAAATGACCAAAATCCTGGATGGTGGATAATCTCAGGGACAATTTCTATTGATTTTCAATTTCAGGGACCATTTATATTGATTATGCAAATCTCATTGACCATTTTATATATTTAACCTTTTTCAAATGATGTGAATGTCCACGTCAGATGCTACCTAAGGTGATATAGAAATGTGTAAAAACATGGTATGAAACTTACGAGAAACACATCGTATTATTTGTCCACGTCCACCTAAAGTTATAATATAATACGATGTATAAAGTTTTTTACTGGTAAATTTTTTTGTAAAATGTGGTATAAAAACATGGTATGAAACTTACAAGATACACATCGCATTAATTGTCTTCAAACTCAAAAGAAACTTACGAGAGTGACAATATTTGCTTGGTCTTCGAATGGAACGGGAACAAAAATGAGTTAGAAAAAGGGAAATATATACAAACGACAATAGTTATAAACTTTTAATCAAAGCAATGATATATCAGAGGCAGAGGCATAAGACCTAGAGGAAACTTAGCTATGTTAAGTACACGACTTATTGTCTATATTGCGGCAGAAAGATGCTTAAGTACTAGAGTGCTGGATTTGATACCGTCATGGTCGAGTAAACTATGCCCTAACTAGACTTAGTGTAAGTATAATACAATAGAGATTAACTGCGGAATTTGTG